TTAAAAAAATACATAAATTAATCAAAATATATAAAAGATCTAAATAATTCATTAGGGTAAATTAGTCATTTTATCAGTCATATCAACTATCAAGTTATATCTTACCAAAAACTGAACAACTGTTCTGCACTACCTAGATACCAAATTCATCCTAAGGGTTGAGGAGGGAAGTCTTTTTTATTTTTTGATTAACCTGGATATCTAACCCGCTATGCGAACCGACTAATCCCAGGGCAACCACCTGCTTTGCAGATAACCCGGAGTCACCACATTTGAACCTCCGTGGCCACAAGGGGATTTTTATTCCTCCTTGGATTTGAACCTGGGACCTCCTGATATTTTTGACTTTTAGAGTCAAGCTCAAACCAATCAGACATCACCTTTGTGATGATATTTTTGACTTTTAGAGTCAAGCTCAAACCAATCAAACATCAGTGATCGAAGGGAAGTCAATTGGGCTTGGTGTGAACACCTATATGGCTAATAGTATTTGAAAAATCAATACAAATTGGATGAGGGAGCATTGGGTTGTCTGGAATGGTTCCCCATGTTTTTTCTGGGGGGAAGTCAAGATTGGCTCCATTATTCATTACATGCCAAGATACAGCCTTGCTTCACAACTTGGAATTTTCTTCTTGACCTACAACTTTTCATGCATATGGTACAAGTATCTAATGCAGATTGTGGGTGATTGTAATCTATACTACAACTTGGTCACTGGCTCTTCAGTAGAAAACTAGTGTCATGGGGATGTAAGATGTTGACCACAATATGATTCCTTGGCCTTTACCTTCTGCAACTTGGTGTTAAAGAAATGCAAGAATGAGTACACTTCTGTTTTAAAATTTAGAATTGAAGTTGGTAAGCAATGCCAACAAATTTGACCAACTTGGAAGAAGTTGATGTTTGACCAGTAGTTATATCATGCATGATCTGGTCATGGTATTGAATGTTCACTTTCTGTGTGCTTGATATCTAACATCATAAGCTTCATGAATAAGTCACTTTTTATATCATTAACCAAACAATCATGTATACGTTGACCGAATAAATTGCGAGTCCCATTAAGCTCATTAAGCTGTTAACAAACATGCCTTAATTGACAACTGTGTATTCTGTCAAGACTCCAGTTTTCTCACTGTTTTTGGCCAAAATGAAACAATACAGATGAATTTAATGGAGGGTTTATCGACTGGTTATTATATATAGAGTACAACTTCCAAGGCACGAGAGACAACAACAATGCCTTGCCACTCGTGCATGCGAACTTGTCCTGTGCTAAATTTGTGATTCAGTCCAGAGGATTTGCCTGAACTCGATATTTGGTATCTGTTAGGGGCTGCATGAATGAGATCCATATCTCATGCAGAGCTTCTTGTGCATTCTGACCACTTAACTATATTAGAATCATACCATTCAGCAATTGGCGATCTACTTTTATGTGAACAGGATATAAGTTGATATAACATTATTGCTCCGGAAAATCATCAAATACTCGGCATTTTAACATTCATGAACATGGCATGCAAAGCTTCAACCGAAAAAACAAATTCAGAAACTATAACTACACATTTATCAATCAAGATGCATTTAGTTCATCAAACTAACTACTCGTGTTCATCTTGATCTCTAATCTTGACATAGGAAAAGTGGCTGCGAGAGGCAGTTTTGAGAACATGGAAACTACAGAGTGATAAGAGATCGCCGCTATCTTCACCATGATCTGCCCTCTCTTCGGTATCAGTCTTCGACTTGTTAAACTTGTTCTAAGCTTGTTTTCCATATTTAAATCTTGAAAAAAACCCAGCTTTCTGAATCTAAAGAAAAGAGAGTTTCGGATATGAGTCTGATCTTGAATTAGGTTCCTTGGGGTTGGTTTATATAGCCCCAGATTTGGTGTTGTAGGGTACAAGATCTGGAATTTTGTATGGTTTGATTGGGTGATTTGGTAGGTGGTTGAGTGACAATGCCAGCAAATCCATTTGAACCCATGATTCTTTCTGTCCCACAATTGCTGTGACAAACTGAGTCAACCAGGTGATCTGAGTTCAACATGGTACAATTATCTTGGCACAGAGTACAACTTTCTTCTGCAGGTGGTGTGGGTTTTCAATTCAGGTTCTGATTGAATGGTTTTCAACAACTAATTTTTGAGTTAAAAAATGGGAATCAGGGAGCAAATGGTCCATCTTTTTTTTAATCACAAATATTGAATTGATTTTGGTTGACAGTGGGTGCATGGGAAAGCACAACTTGCTCTGTGGGTGTTAAGCATGTCTGATGCTGCTCAGCTACTACTGTGGCACATCAGTATTCAGTAGACAGGTTCCATGCTTCAAAATGGTGGCCACAGAGCAAGTGGTCATGTGGTTCTTTTGGGAATTTGGATGGATTTTTGGAAAAGCAGAAATTGGTCTGTGGGTGTTGAAGTATGTTTGATGCTGCTTAAGTGCAAGTAACATGCTGCATGCTGCTTTTAACATATCATTATATATTAATATCATAATCTTTTTACACATTTGTATTAAGCCATGTAAATTTGAGTGGCTTAATACAAATAATAAGCTCCCAAAAACAAAAAAACTAGGGTTTATTTATATGAAAAGATTGGTATTTTTATAGCACGATTTAGATTTTACGTTTGTAAGTGCATATAAGGGTAGCATCAAGGTTTAAAAGAACGGGAATGAGCCTCGAGGCGATCGAGACTTAAGCTCCAGAAATAAGACAACAAAATTTATAAATCCATAACACTTAACAAAAAAACATACTTTCATATTTCCATTGTCGGATAAGTGAACTATAAAGCACATAATTCAATAAAACTACTTGTTATAACCTACAAGTAAAGATAAAGTCTTACCCGATAAGTGAATGTGACAGATTCTTATCTATAAATGCATACCGGGTAAATTATTACATATGATACCATTTTCGTGGACTGTTTGATGAACTTGCATGGGTGATAAAAGTGACCCTTTTTTAAAGTAAAATTTTCTTTTGTGGTAATCATACATAAACAAATCGATTGAAAAAACAAAGCCATATGAAATGAAGAAAATAATATTTCGATATATGCTTTAAAATGCCAACGTATGCAAAAAGTTAACTCTTAAGTGGCTTTTAAAGTGGCGTATTGTAGCGACATCCTAATGCCGCTTTCAAGGTGGCTTTTATTTTTTGAACCAGGTCAGCTTGAAAGCGAGCTTTGCTCTTTCGAAGTGGATTTCAGTTTCAGATGGGATTTAACCCATTTTGCCTAGTTTTCGAGTAATCTTCCAATCTTGAAAGTGGGAGTTTTCTCTTTGTGATTTAAAAAACATGACGAGTTATAAAATTAACCGTAGGTGTACCCTATAAAGAGAAAGCTCATATTTAAATTTCGATATGCTACTATAACTTCTCATTTTTTGGACAACAATACAATGTTGGATATACATTAAGCTTAGGGGTTGTTTGGTTTCATTAAATCCCGTAGGTATAAAATTGTCTCTATGGATTAATCTGTCTATATAGATTGAAAAGACTTTTGTTTGGGAGGATTTTTTATAGACGGAATGAGCGTGTTTCTAATTAGGAGGGACAAGTTTGGAAAAACTTGACTTTCTGCATAAAACTCTCTTCTAAAAGTTTACTGAATAAACCACTTTTTATATCATTAAGCCACTGTTAAATAGTCATCTATAGTTGACCGAATAAACTGTAAATGTCATTAAACTCATCAAGTTGCTAACAAACAAGCCTTTTAATATTATCCCAAAATACCACCAAGTCATTTCAACATAATGCAAATTTTATAAGTTTAATGACCATTTTTTTCATTATATGCAACCATTTTTTCCTCCTCACGATTTGAGATCGAGTCTTGAGATATCGAAAGTAATAATAAAAGTGGGAATGTTGTCACTAGAATGGACCACAATAGGGGTGATCTATGCATAGTCATTCTAAGTCTACACATGTTGGAGATAGTTGTTAAGAAATTGGTAGAACCTAAAAAGAATGAAATACCAGATAGATGAGGACTAGAAATTGTTGAATCAACTGCTCCTCCAAAATGATTGGTAGTGTCACTTAAGGACGGATAGACCGTCCACCCAGTGCCACTACCCACTTCTACTAAGGCAGGGCTTAATAGGAACAAGAGGTTTGGTGACAATAACCAAAATGAAATATTATTTAATCATGAAAATGTCATGTCATGCACAGTTAAGTTGTTTATGTTTCTATTAATATCTAAATTTAGGAGTCGTTCACCAAACACTTACCGGTAAAATTTAACACTATCATTTACTTACTGGGTAAGATTTTAGTTCATTAAAACAGCATCGTATGCAACAATTTACTTAGTAAGCACTTACTGTGGTAACAGTCATCGTCCTTGCTTGCTAGGTAAGACTCTTGTTTCTTTTCTCGCTCTTACAAGGTAAGATTCTTTGGTCCTTACCATATTTATCCGGTAAAATAATATGATTTGGTAAACACGTACCTGGATAAGCATTTGGTAAACGACCACTTAATGTTCATTTGTTTATATCTATGCTTAATTTGTTTTACATTTGCGGCTAACTGAGGGTTAATTTGTTTGTATTTCATTAACAGTTTTACTTAATTCGTTATATTTATATTTCCGTTAATTTATTGACGGAAAAACATTTGTCATTTATATCATAAAGAAAAAACCGTCAATCGATATCACGAGCAAAGATGCAATTAGCCGCCTCAAAAATCAATAATTCTCAAAGGTGTGAAATGTAAAATTTACTCAAGTCAAGGGACCATTATTGCCTAACCAAAATAGCCCAGGGGAGAAAGTCAATTCTACCGTTTCCTAAAATACTGGCCCCAGAACTCCAGAAGTCTCTAGAAGCGCGAAAACACAGCCGTTCTTGTCCGATCATTCTACACTCTCCAGGAAGCCCCCAATTCTCACGCTCTCTTTAGACAATATAAATTCATCTTGAATTGATGGATTTACCAATCAGCATTTGAATCTAAACTCAAATCATTTCGCTCATTATACTGATTGAATTCCTCTTGAAATTTGTGTAAAATCTGTGTTTTTGATCGTTTCGATTCTTCGGGAATCAACAATGGCGGACGTTCTGATGGGAGAGACGGAGACCTTTGCGTTTCAGGCAGAGATCAATCAACTTCTCAGTCTCATAATCAACACTTTCTACAGCAACAAGGAGATCTTTTTACGTGAACTCATTAGCAATTCATCCGATGTAAGTACGTTCAATAACGTATTTGCATGCTTATAAGCATTCGAATTTGTTTGTCTTCATTTACTTGATTTTTTTTTCCTTGATGTTTTGCTTGAAGGCGTTGGATAAGATTCGATTTGAGAGCTTGACGGACAAGAGCAAACTTGATGCTCAACCGGAACTTTTCATCAGGCTTGTCCCTGATAAGGTTAATAATACACTGTCTATCATCGATAGTGGCATTGGAATGACTAAAGCTGGTACGTGAGCTTCATAAACAAACGTGATCTATCTCATTATCGCAATTTTGAATTCCCGAATTTGTTTTGTATAACTTGTAATCTTCCAGAGAAGAGTCGAAGGTTGATCTATCTCATTATTGCAATTTTGAATTCACAAATTTATTTTTCTATAATTTGTAATCTTCCAATGAAGAATCGAAGGTTACTTTGGCATGAAATATATCAGTACCTGATTCTAAGGATTGACATGCAATATAATGTCAGCCAATTGGGATTCACCAATGGTTATGCATGTTCGTAGAAAACCTTTGGTCAGGAGCTTGTGACTTGTGATAATGAAGATCGAAGCCGAATTTTTTTTTAAAATGCTTGTCGATGTATTACATTAGATTGCAATTGGAAGCAGTCTGTTTTTAAGTGGTTTAAAATCATTCATGCTAATGGAATAGGTGTCTGTTTTCCCCATTTTAGATCTGGTGAACAATTTGGGCACTATTGCGAGGTCGGGAACCAAAGAGTTCATGGAGGCTTTGCAAGCAGGTGCTGATGTCAGTATGATTGGTCAGTTTGGTGTTGGTTTCTACTCAGCCTACCTTGTTGCTGAGAAAGTAATCGTGACCACCAAACATAACGACGATGAGCAATATGTTTGGGAATCTCAAGCTGGTGGATCGTTCACTATTTCAAGGGATGTCCATGGTGAACAATTGGGGAGGGGAACCAAGATGACTCTCTTCCTCAAGGAAGACCAGGTACATTTTTAATGTATATATGAGTTTCTTGTTTTGATTAGTTGATTGGAATGTGGAAAATCTATTTTTAGATAACAGTCAATGCTTCTTTCTGCAGCTGGAATATTTGGAAGAAAGAAGAATTAAGGATCTGGTGAAGAAGCACTCTGAGTTCATCAGCTACCCAATCTTCATATGGACTGAAAAAACTACTGAAAAAGAGGTTAGTGATGATGAAGATGATGAATCCAAGAAGGAAGAGGAAGGTGACGTGGAGGAAGTGGATGAGGAAAAAGAGAAGGACAAGAAGAAGAAAAAGATCAAAGAGGTGTCCCATGAATGGCAATTGATCAACAAGCAGAAACCAATCTGGCTTCGAAAACCCGAAGAAATTAGCAAAGAAGAGTATGCTTCATTCTACAAGAGCCTGACTAATGATTGGGAGGAACATCTTGCTGTCAAACACTTCTCTGTAGAAGGGCAGCTTGAGTTCAGGGCTGTGCTTTTTGTTCCAAGAAGAGCTCCATTTGATCTATTTGACACAAGGAAGAAAATGAACAACATCAAGCTCTATGTAAGAAGGGTCTTCATCATGGACAACTGTGAGGAGCTCATTCCAGAGTACCTTGGATTTGTAAAAGGAGTGGTGGATTCCGACGATCTCCCGCTCAACATATCTCGCGAAATGCTTCAGCAGAACAAGATTCTGAAGGTGATCAGGAAGAATCTTGTGAAAAAATGCATTGAGATGTTCAATGAAATAGCCGAAAACAAAGACGATTATAACAAGTTCTACGATGCTTTCTCTAAGAATCTCAAATTGGGTATCCACGAAGACAGCCAAAACAGAGCCAAGATTGCTGATCTTCTTCGATACCACTCGACAAAAAGCGGCGAAGAGCTGACCAGCATGAAGGATTACGTAACGAGAATGAAGGAAAACCAAAAGGATATCTACTATATCACTGGAGAGAGCAAGAAAGCTGTTGAAAACTCCCCATTCTTGGAGAAGCTCAAGAAGAAAGGATACGAAGTCCTGTTCATGGTGGATGCCATCGACGAATATGCTGTTGGACAATTGAAGGAGTACGATGGTAAGAAGCTTGTTTCAGCCACAAAAGAAGGACTAAAACTAGACGATGAAACTGAAGAAGAGAAAAAGAAGAAAGAAGAGAAAAAGAAATCGTTCGAGAATCTATGCAAAGTGATCAAAGATATCTTGGGAGACAAAGTCGAAAAAGTGGTGGTTTCCGATAGAATTGTGGACTCTCCTTGCTGTTTAGTAACGGGAGAGTATGGATGGACAGCCAACATGGAGAGAATAATGAAGGCTCAGGCATTGAAAGATAACAGCATGAGTTCCTACATGTCCAGCAAGAAGACAATGGAGATTAACCTCGATAATGGAATCATGGAGGAGCTGCGAAAGCGATCGGAGGTCGATAAGAACGATAAATCCGTTAAGGATTTGGTGATGTTGCTTTTTGAGACGGCTCTTTTGACGTCGGGATTTAGTCTTGATGATCCAAATGTGTTTGCTGGAAGGATTCATAGGATGTTGAAACTGGGATTGAGCATAGATGAGGATGATGTTGGTGGAGATGATACTGATATGCCTGGTTTGGAGGAGGGGAATGAGGAAAGCAAGATGGAGGAGGTTGACTGAGTTAAGTGGTACCGTTTATACTTCTCTAGCTTCGCGGACGTCCGCCATTTTGTTTTTCTTTATGTTGGTTTTCTCCTCTACATTGTTCTTCCCTAGCATATGGACAATATAACGTGCCAACCAATCGGAAATTAGAAATTTTAAACGACATTTATTTCTTCATGTTCTTAATTTTCATATGGTTACTAGTTATTTCCATAATATTTACTTTGGGATTGTGTATTACAATTATATTTCAGAGTTAATTACATAAATCATGTTTGTGGTTAGCGTCTAAGAGTATTTCCAAGATATATGTTATTTAAAAAAAATTAAAGATTTAGAAAAAAATTAACTTTAATAGTTATGTTGATCTTCAAATTTAAAAAAAGGCGAGAAAAATATAATATACTTGTTGGAGATGTTTTAAGTTTTAATCTGACCATAAAAAATGCCTATACAGTATACATTATGTTATGACTAGAAATGTAATGCAGTGAGACATCTCTATTTTAATATTATTTTTTTTGAAAGGCAATATTTTATTTTATTATTTGCTTAATTGAATAAACATATAAATTTAAAGACCTCATAAAATTTAAAAACAAGATATTAAATTAACAATTTAAAATAACTATTACTTGTTTAAAGTTTTTAGTTCAATTTTTTATTATAATTTAATTTAGGTTTAATAATCATGTAATTTATTTTAGGTTTAATAATATAATTTTTTTATAATAATAATAATCAAGTATTTTGTTATAATTCAATCATTATCTTAATTATATTTTAAATTAGTTATATTAAAAATGATACGTTTATCTTGTATTTGATTGTGTGTATGAGTTAGTTATATGAATTTTAACACAATAGCTTTAAAAAGTTGTATTAATACACAATTTACTTGTAATCTTGAATTTTAATTAATATACATCATTAAATAGTACTTGATATATTAAAAATGGTTTTTAAGATCTTAACTCAAATACTTTATAATATAGTATAAATATATATACACAATCAAATCCACTAAAATGGTTCAAAATTCAAATAATATTACTTAAAATTCAAGGGAAGTTGATTGCATGCTATAGCCAATATAACATACAACAAACATTGGGCTTAGCTTAAGCAATCATCGCTTAACCAAAAAAGTCAACCTTAATCAATTTCTAAATGCATCGTGTGTTTGAGATTTTGCTGAAAAATAAGCTCCAATTGTACTCTGAAAAGAACAACAAAATGCTAGAGACGAGAAAAGAACAACATACATGTCGTGTTCGCAGGTCCGTTTCTGACATTATAAATACAGGCCCCGAGTAGATATATGAAAAGAAGCTCTCGGTAAGTACGAAAAGAAATCAATTAGATGTTTTTTATCATCAAAAATAAAATTGAATTCAAAAAATACTAATGATTTAATATAAAAACGTTTTTTTCTAAGTAAACCTAAACGCAAAATCAATCAATAATTACTTATAATTTAACATTATCTACCATATCGTTTTTATATAGAATCATAAATCCATTCCACAACCAAACATGTTTTATGATATACCTTTAGTATATAAATTAACTTCATTTGAGGTCACAATGCTGACTATACAGTGTAATACTTCATATAAATCAATATGGTCGGAGTTGCAATTTATTGTATGGTCGATGTTCCTGTTAAATGACATATATATTGTATGGTCGGAGTTGTAATTTATTAAAAATAAATTGCAAGAAATTATTTATTACTTTTTTACTTGATTTATCAAAATTTTCATTAATTTGTAAAATTTTATCACCGTTATTTGAGTGATTGTAATTAAACAAAATAAATAAAAGAAAAAAAAAACAAAAAAAAAACATAATTTTGGACATGGAGATGGAAAAGAGACCCAGCAACACCACCAACTGCGGAGGAATCCGACATCAACCATTGAAATCGAACAAAATCCACCGTATTTCCCTCCCAATAACCCTTTTATCTTCCTAAATATTCTATCTTTTCCGGCAATTCTATCTTTTCCGGCAACAAACAACAATGCCGCCGACCGACAACCAAGGATCCTTCCTCAACCGGATAAGCATCCGGCGAAACCAAGTCGTTTACGAGCACGAAATCGAAGACCTTGAACAATTCCAGAAACACGTGGCCGACCGTCTCTCCGAACTCTTACCACCCTCATCCCACGCCGATGAATTGGCCGCCGTTGATCCGCCGGAAACCCTCTTGTCCATCGCTTGGTTTCGTCGACTCCTCGACGCATTTCTCTGCTGCGAAGCGGAATTCAAAGCGGTCGTGATCATGGGCCGTGACGCTGCCAATTTCGCTAAATCGCCACTCGACCGCCTGATCCCGGAGCACCTTGATCGGACGGTGAAAGCTCTCGATATCTGCAATGCGATTACTCACGGGATCGATTTGCTTCTACACTGGCAAAAACTCGCCCAGATCGCCGTCGATTCACTTCAACAACGACCAATCGGAGAAGGCCACGTCAAGAGGGCAAGGAAGGCGTTGAACACTCTATTATCGTCAATTACGATCGACGACAAAGAAAACCACCATCATGGAAAAGCCGCGGCGGCAGCCGCGAAAGATCATGCCACGATCGGGAACCTTAGATCGTTGTCGTATTGTTTCGCGAGATCATGGTCAGCATCCAAGCAAATACAGGCAATGTCGTCGAATCTGGTGGCGCCACGTGGCGGCGAACCGACGGGTTTGGTTATTCCTGTTTATTTAATGAGTTTCGTTTTGGTTTTCGTGATGTGGGCGATGGTGGCGGCGATTCCGTGTCAGGAACGGACGGGGCTCGGAGCCCACTTGCAATTACCGAAGCAATTTCAGTGGGCACATCCGATGATCGGACTGCAAGAAAAGATCGGCGAGTTATGGAAGAAGAAGGAGAAGAAAGGGCGGAGTGGGTTATTGGACGAGACGCAAAGATTGGAGAAATTGGGGCGGAATATTGTGGAATTTGCCGACGGGTTTACGTTTCCGGTGGAGGCGGAGAAGGCGGCGGAGGTGGAGGAGCAGGTGGCGGAGATGGTGGAGATATGCCAGAAAATGGAGGAATTGGTGCCGCTGCAACTTCAGGTGAGGGAATTGTTTCACCGGATTGTGAGGAGCAGGGCGGAAGCTCTTGATGTTCTTGATCAAGTCACCAAGATGACGACACCAATTCAATATTAAATAATTGTACAATTTATTTTTCACGTATTTTAGACATCTTTAAAAATCCTATTTTATGTTTAATCTATTTAAATGATTATATTAATTGGGCATGACATCGTACAGAAACTGTGTAAAAGTTAAAAACTGGTTTGTTATGTGTTGTTAAAAATCAAACGGATAACTGTTAATGGACTCGTACTAAAACAAATAATATCAAAGTAGCTATCAGAAAAGACGAGAGGATTATGTTCGGTTAGCATTATTAGACAGATGAGTGAACGAGATCGATCGCTACCAATTCGAAGATATCCAAGTTGTATAGTTTCTCAGAAGTGCATCACTTTTTCGTTTGCATTATGCAAAAGGGTTTTCTCTTCTTCCTATAAAACATACATAAACATTGATATCGTTGTACAAAACAGATCCTGTAGACTCCTGCCTACCTCGACCATGGGCGAACCCCAGGTCTAGTTTCAACCCTCCCTCCTTTTTATTTAATTCTACAGGTTTTGAACGATTGCTTGCTCTCGATTGTCTTTTTTTTCCTCGTGGGTTTCTTCTTTTTGAAGTTTATTGTTGTAATACGCGTTAATTTACTGTCTTTTGGTTTGCTCTCGTTTTCGTATTTGTCTTTTCATGGGTTCCTTCTTATTCCAGGTGTAAGTCACCAATTTTCCTCCTAAAACAACATCAAGATTGTCAATTTGAAATATTAATGTTAAATGATAAGTATGATGATGTATTTGTTCGGTTTTGATTGTAGAAAGTGATATTTCAAGTGTGCTTACATGACTGTAGAAGTCAAAGGAAGGCCATGAAAGCAATTTCCAAAGTCATAGGTGAATTCTGTGTCCTATCTTTTTTTTTATAAATTACACTTTAACTCCTACAATTTTATTCATCGTCATAAAACGACTACAAATATTCACAGGGATCAATTCCATAGAGGTGGATGTGGATGGCAACAACTTGACAGCTGTCGGTGTCTTTGATCTGATATGCGGCCACCGAAAACTAAAGAAGGTTTGTAAAAAAACGAAGATTAAATCAGTTGAGATAGTAAAACCCGAAGAACCTAAGAAAGAAGAACCTAAGAAAGAAGAACCGAAGAAAGAAGAACCAAAGAAAGAAGAGGAACCAAAGAACCCAGTGTGGCATTATCAACCCCCCTATAATCCTTGTTACATGCCACAACCTTTCTATGTGGCAGTGGAGGAAACTCCCCACTGTTGTGTTATTTTCTGATAACTTCGGGATCTGATCAAATGTACAAGTTGATATGCTTGAGATGGCCCATAAATATTTATTTGAACCAACTTTATAGGTTTATTTGAACCGTTTTCTTTATATGATTCGAATAAGTTTTAGATATTTTGACCAAAGGGTTTTTGACCTAGCGGTATGTGAGTCTTTGACATCCTAGGAGTTCAAAGGTTCAAAACTCACCAAATGTGAGCAAAGTGTGTAAGTTTATATGGTCTATTTGACGTAATATAAGTTTTAAATATTTTGATTACTATCTATAAGATTTAAATATAAAACTCATAGAAATTTGCATTTCTGGTCCTTATGGTTTGTTGATTTTCTCGAATTGGGTTCCTACAAAAAAATTCATTACAAAAAAAAAACAAAATGGTATACAAAATGCTCGGTTTTGGTCATTGAGGCTAACATTGTTAGCTTCCTTTCTGTTAAACACCCTAATATGACGTGCACATGAGGGTATATTTGTCTTGTTTACATGTTGAGCAGGTGATCGGAATCTTTATAATGATACGGCAAAAAATTTAAAAATTATACAATATCAACCTCATTCATAAAATAAAATTCAACCTCACCCTACAGATCCATTGCCAACCACAGTCCTCCGGCCACTGTCTCCTCATTTTTCGCCTTTTTAGCCATAGATCTCGCGCCATCTAAATTCCTCCATTTATGTTTTTAATCGATTTCTTAACCTTAAGAAAGATGAAAACCCATAAAGAATATGACCCACAAGAACCATCGAAGGAATACTGTTCTTTTCTCTTTATCGATCTGCATCAGTCCCTATTGATAAACCTTAAAACCATACATAAAAAACCCAATGTTTACATCAAGAAAAAACTTATGACCATGGAAGAAAGATCACAGGGAGGAAGAACAATGGTTGGATTTAGTCGCAGATTCAATGAACGGGAAAGGGGGCAATGGAGGTGCACGTCCAAATTTGTAGACTCGTCGGAGTTACTAAGAAGGTGACGGTTTTTTTAGGACACTGAGGAGCATGCTGATTTTGAATTTGGATTTGTAGGGATTTTGTTTTTTTATGTGTTCATCATCTTTAAAACTTGTATATTGATACAAATTTTGAGGGCGTCGATGTTTTTATTCAATTAAAATTACGTAAGAACGAAATGATATATTTTTTTATATGACGTGGAATTTGGATCATCAAATATAAGAAATATGTAACATATCATAATTATTGATGTCACGTCATTTTCTTAATTTTATTTTTCTAATTTTAAATATGACAGAGTATCAGTAGACATTTACTGTCACGTTATCACTAACATGTTATCAGATCAACCAAACTTTTAATAAACAAATACTTTCCTTATAAATGTTTTTTTTTTTTTTTTAAATTGGTTATTTAAAATATGAATTTATACAAAATTAATTCTATTTTAAATACAATTTTCTCTTTTTAATTTTGATATAAATATTTATTTTGTGTTATTATAATTATATGATAGGATCAGAATCGATGGCCAAGAACCACATATTGGGTAGGGTGCAACGTAAGATACATCGGTAGTGCTTACGTCATAAATCAATAATTTAGTGATTGAAGTTGTCTATTTTCCCTTTTTTCTTTTTGTTGTTATTTTATATAATTTTAATTTATAAAAATCAAAACCTTTTTTCATGTGGCCTTCATCTTGTTTACTTTTCTTGGTCAAATTCCTCAATAGAAAATATGAACTAGTAACGTTGACGACAAAAATATTTTTTATAGTATTTGTTTGACCATTTATTTTTATGTCTAAAAATAGATCTAAGTATGATATGTTTTTTTAAAAGTATATAATATTTATATACGGTAAATATAATAAATAAATTCATATATCTTTTTTATCTTTGATAAAGTTTGAACCATTGATCTCTTAGGAAGCCAAATAATATGATACTGTTAGACGAAAGACCATTTTGTAATCGGGTATATGATGTTGTTTTGATAAAATTTATTATATTTTTTATTATCTCGAATGAATCTATTCTTTAATTGGTTGTCTTATAATTTAACCTAAAGCTGTTTTTTTTGGTATAAACAGATGTATATTATCTATACTATATTATAAAACATTTGAAACAAACTTTTAAAAATCATTTTTTTTATGCATGAAGTGATGTTTATTGATGCATATTACTTAAAAATTCAATATTACAAATAAATTATACGTCAGTATAACTTATTAAAGCTTCATGTTTGAATTCATATAACTAACTACATATATACATAACCAAATACAAGATAAACGTTTCATTTTAAATATAAAAAATCTAAAATATAATTAGGATAATTATTGAGTTATAACATAATACTTAATTATTATTCTTATAGAAAATTATATTATTGAATAAAAAAAATTACTTTGTTACTAAATTTAAATTAAATTATAATAAAAAATTGAATTGAATAAATTAAAAAAAAACAAGAACTTTAATAGATATATTTATTTTAGAAATTTTATGATATCATCAAATTTATATTTAATTTAAAAATAAAAACATTATCCATTTTTCAAAACCACATAAAAACCGTATTATAACATTTACGGAGACAGAATAAAACGAAACATTAAAATCGAGATATATCTCGCTGCATTGCTCGAGTACCCTTCTAGTATCATTATGATTCACGAATATAACCTATTATAAAATACTTCTGATATTTATATTTCTTTTGTTCCAAAAATAAATATCAATAGTTCTATTTTAGTTTGTTTTTAAGTAAATGTCTACTTTCAAAAGTATGTGTCTACTAAGGATCGTTATTTGGGGTTTCCGTTATGAGACACTAAACAGGATCTCCAAATTTTTGGGACCCAAATTCAGTTACCTATTTTTATTATTAGTAGTCTTCTTAACCTAATTGAATTTTAGCCGGCAAAACAAGAAATCTTTAAACCTTTTTTTTTTAAAACCTGGATATCCAATCCGGTATGCGAGCCGACTAATCCCACGACGATCACCTGCTTTACAGATAGTCCGGAGTCACTGCATTTGAATCTTCGTGACCACAAGGGTATTTTTATTCATCCTTGGATTTGAACATGTGACCTTCTGATACTTTTGACTTTTGGAGCAAAGCTCAAACCAATCAAACACCACCCTTATAGTTAAATCCTTAGACCTTTGTTATCTCTTCAATCGTCTTCGTCAATCGATTCTTGTCGCTTTGGCTCATTTGCCTTTTTTTTTCTTTTCTTGCCAATAGCGATTGAATCAATCACAACTCTTCAAATCTCCTATGAGATTCCATATGTTACTTTGTAATTTCACAACATTTTTGTTATTTTAATTTGTAATTTAACATAATATATGGTATAAATTTATAGTTTGATTTATTTACAAATCGTTCCGTCAATAAATAATATTAATACAGTTTGTAGTAACCCCTACAAAACAAAAAGTTAAATGACTATTTGTCTATATTTCTTATTATGTTCTTAATTATGAGGTGAATTTTTTTTATTAACCTGGATATACAACCCGTTATGTGAGCTGATTTGGAACCACCTGCTTTGCAGATAGCCCGGAGTCACCGCATTTGAACCTCCGTGGCCACAAGGGGATTTTTATTTCTTATTGGATTTGAATGACCTCCCGGTGCTTTTGACCTTTGGAGGCAAGCTCAAACCAATCAGACACTACATTTGTGGTTATAGAGATGATTTTTTTTTCTATTACTAAGGAAAGAATTATCATGTACTTATATAAGAAGTATAACGATTACATCTTATTATTACATCATTTTTATTATGAACAATAATTTTCGGACAAATGAAGTGTATCTTTATTATTGATTTTTATTTCTGAATAATCAATTTTATTCATTTCAGTATTTGTCGAAAATCAATATTTTTACAAGGCAAATTACATTAACAACGTACTTTAACTTGATTCATATTTTTTATAACTTACTTTTAAAACTTTCATTTTGGTACCTAAGGTGTAAAGTTTTAAACACTTAAGTATCCAGGTAACTGGTTGAAGACTAATTTTAGATTAAAAAAAATACATGTCACTAACCACGTCAGCAAATAATACCGAGTTTGATACCACATCAGTATGATAACCGGTTAATTCTTCAAATACTTAAATCTTTAAAATTTTACATCTTAAATACCAAAATGGAAATTCTAAAAGTACGTTACTCAAAATAGCAATCAAGTTAAATACGTTACTTTTTCATGTAATTTTTCCTTTTACAAGACCTCAAAGAAACTTATGAAATATAAATAACTTACGATCATTAGATTTATAAAAAAAAATATACATTATATATATAAATTGAAAAACATCATCAGCCTATGTTGTTTCAACATTTATTCGATTGTCACACTTCTATCCCTTATGTCTCCTTTTACGTCAAAATTGCTATATATATATATATATATATATAGGCATTGCATTCAGTACTATTAGATGAAAGGCTTTTAGTAACAATTACACTGAGAGACTAACACAATTTAGTATAAATGGTAAGTTATACGGACTGATTGTAGTTGTGATCGATTAATTTTGTGCCCGAACAAGCGGGGAAGCGAGCGGCGAATGAGGCGACATCCGATGAGGAGTCAAGATATCGTCCATCCTTCTTGACGATAACCGAAGATGCAAATTGTTTTGCCAACATTGTCTCTTCGTCTTGATCTCGAGCATCTTGTTCTTGAGCACGTACGTTTTAATCCTGCGTAACGCGATCATTGTCGTCTCGTCATCCATGTTCGCAAAACAAACACGAAACCAACCGGGCTCAGAGCAATGGAACGACGAGCCGGGTGATACGTTAAGCTTAATTTCGTTGATTATAATTCGCCAGAATGTCATTTCCGACTCGAAAGTAGGGTCTTTCAGGAATCGACGTAAGTCCATCCAGAAAAACAGCCCGGCATTGCTCTCAAGGCTCCCGATCCCAACTTGGGCCAGCCCACGGGTGAACATTTGGTGCCGATGGGCTAGCCGGATTCGGCTCTCGGAAATGAAGTTCTCCACAAATTTGTTATCCGATAGCATGGTGGCGAGCATGCGTTGGGTCTGAGTCGAAACCAGCCCGAAGCTCGACATTTTACGTGCGATGTTGACGACATTATCGTTGTAGGAATAGACGATTCCGACCCTGAACCCCGGGAACCCCATGTCTTTCGAGAGACTGTAGACGATATGAACCAAATCGCGCTTACATGTCGGATCTTCCTCGAGAACCTCCGCAATGCTGACGAATTCTTCGCCGGTGGTTACGGTGCCAGCGTAGATCTCGTCGCAAACGAGGTGGATGTTCTTATCGGTGACAAAACTTACGAGATTTTTTAACGTTTCTTTATCAAGGAAAGTTCCCAATGGATTGGAGGGGTTGGTTATCAGCAATCCTTTGATCTTAATGTTGGCTAGTTTTGCTTTCTCGTAGGCTGTTTCGAGAGCTTCTTCGGTGATCTTGAAGTTGTTCGAGCTTTCGCAAACAACGGGCACAAGCTCGACTCCAGTTCGCCATCTCAAATCTCGATCGAACCTACAAAAATTGATGAATTCTTAATTTAGTCCAAATGCTTTGGAAAATTAATGCGGGTTTTGATGTTAATGTAACATCTCATGCCAATTATACCATATATTAATTTTCCGCTTTGTCCACTTGGACTCACGGTTTTAAAAACGCATTTAACAGAGGAGATATCTAGTAGAAGGGTTTTCAAACAGTGATCACGTATATATATATATATATATGAACAAACCAGACAATATCTAATACGTACTGACATTTTACAATTAATTTTTTACGAAATTTAATGTTCATACCCTGGATAATAAGGGGTAGGGACTAAGAATGCTTCGCCGGGATTTGCTAAACAGAAAGCGACGGTTTCATGGGCGCCGGTGGCTCCGCCGCTCATCACAATCCGATTAGGGTCGAACCTAACACGATTCCCTCGAACTCGACTCATGAAATTAGCGACGGCGGTTCTGAATTCCGGCAATCCATGGTAGTCTTGGAAAATGGCGGTCTCTTTGAAATCAACAGCACCTTGTGGAGTACAAATTGAAGCAGATGGATTCGCTTCGATCCATTTTTGAATCAAATCGAAACAAAGCTGAAGAAGAAGAATTCAAATAAACAGATGATTAAAACCAAATTCGAAATTTGAATTTTAGGGTAAATGTAATGTAAAATGTATACCGAATTCTCGGCGAGACCCATCTGAATAACGCCGGAAGGATTGTGTTGAAGGTGGAAGGGATTAGCATCGTAAGCCTTCCAACCGTCAAAATACGGCGAGTTTTCTCCATGGCCGTTGTTGGTTGCGATCTTCGATAACAAATTGTGGGTGTTGTTCTCCATTGATTGTTCGATTGGTTTACAGAAGGTATAGCAAATTAGAGTAGCAGACAAAAGCAGATTAGAGAAGAAGAAAGGAATGAATTTAGTTGGGAAGTTGATGCAATCGGTAAGAGATATATATAGAGAGAAAAGAAGGGAGGAATGTCAAGGAATAGGGGTAGAAGGTTCCTAGCAAGCAGAGACCGAAATTTACACGTAGGGGCAGTATCCATCCACGGGTACCCGACCCAAACAGGGCGGGGCGGGGAGGGGATTTTCTGTTTTGGCGGGTAATAGAGTTGGGATGGGGTTTTAATCTCATATCTGAAACAGGGTCGAATGATATCAAGGATGGCATTATCCGTTTTTAATCCGACTTCGATTAATTTTTTTTAATATATGTATATAAAATGTGTATAAATAAATAAATATATATATAGATATATGTATCAATTTATTATTAAATGACAATTATATTTAATTTTTAATATTCCTGATTAATATTATGACGAATTTATTATAATTTTAATTTTAAAATATATTGTTTTTATTATTTTGTTTATTAAATGGGTATCCAATGGGTTGAGGTGATTGGATTGAAACTTTGGTATATTATTTTACAACTAGTTTTTTAAACCTAAATGCTATTTTAAAACTAGTTTTTTAAACCCTATCATATATTTTTTTAATATATCAACTAGCTTCTTACTAGATGTAAGGTGGATTTAGCCTTGGTGGTAGGGGAATTTTTTTTTAAGTATATAATATTTATATACGACAAAATGCAATACATAAATTTATACATTCTTCTCACATTTGTTGAAGTTTGAACCTTTGACCTCCTAGGAGACTAAAGACTACGATACCACCAGGCCAAATGCCCTTTTGCCCCCAACATTTGAAATATAAGGCCCCCACCATTGGTTTTGTTTGAAAAACAATAAACTGTTTGATGTTTCTAGGTTGTTCGTTTTGATTTTCCATCTACTTCCGTTACGTTGGTAAACCCGTTCATGGTAATTTTGATTTTGATTTTGTCAGAATCTGATAAAACCGTTAATTTTATTTGATAAGTCATACATTTGTTATTGATAAACTACTGCCCATTGTTATTGCTGTAAAACTTAAAAGATTTTTCTAAAAAAAAAGCATCAGCATCTATATCTAACAGCAGTGGAGATTCTGGTTTTACTCGTTCCTCTATATTAATCGATTTGATTAATCTCCCATGTGATCCACGCAAAAGAAAAAAAAATATCATAGTATCACCCTCATAAAAAAAATGAATTTCAAAGAAAGTACTTAACGACAGGTCATTGTCAACCACGTGGCCATTTAAGATTTCTAGAAAACTTGTCGAGAGCCCCCCCCCCCCCCCCCCCCCCCTCTCCCTCAATGACAAAATTCGGTATCCACCACTGATTAAATATAACTAACTTATCAGTCAACAATTAGTTTTTTTTTATTAATCTTACTTTTACTGAATTATAATTCGTTTATTAAAGTAAACGTTTATTCTTGACCAAACCACCATAAAGAAATATATTGTCAATTGAAATGGCGTTGATGTCAAACTTCTATTAATGATTTATTTTATAGATTTAATACAGGATTTATTTATTTACCAATTAAAAATAGAAATAAAACATGAAAAATGGATATTATTTTTTTAATGTTTTTTTTTTTGGATAAGTGCACCGTCTTGTTTTTTTTTTTAACAGATCATATAAATATTGATTTTTAAAATTATTTAATGTTGTTATATTATTTAGGATTTATATAATAATTATAATTCACGAATTCTTTTTTGACTGACGGTCAAAAGGTTTTTTAGTATAATATTTTTGGAATTAAACTTTGTATTATCTTAAACTTTACATTATTTACTTGCAATTGGGTGTTTGGATCTTAATTTTCATTAAGTAGTTATTAAATGAGCAAATTACATAGAAAATAATATATACTTTAGCTTGAATCCTATTTTGAATAAGATTGCTTTTAGAACCTTCATTTTTAGCATTTAAGATGTAAAGTTATAAACATTTAAGTATCATGCTAACCGGTTGAAGTATTAACCGGTAACCATGTTAATATAGCGAGTGATGTGGTATCCGGTTAATGCTTCAATTGGTTACCCAAAACTTTACATCTTGGGTACTAAAATGAAAGTTCTGAAAGTACGTTACCCAAAATAAAAATCAAGTTAAAGTGTATTACTTTTTCATGCAATTTGCACTTATTGAATAAAGGGAAAATTGCACCAAAATAGAACCAACTTTCACCTAATTTCTACTTTGGGGAACCAATTTTCAAAATCGTCATTTTGGAGAACCAACTTTCACCTGATTCCTATTTTGGGGAACCAACTTTTACCTGATTCCTATTTTGGGGAACCAACTTTTACCTGATTCCTATTTTGGGGAACCAACTTGCACCTGATTCCTATTTTGGAGAACCAACTTTCAAAATCGTCATTTTGGGGAACAAACTTGCACATGATTCTTATTTTGGGGAACCAACTTTCAAAATAATTATAAAAAATAACTAATTTTTTTTTTCAAAAATTAATGCAATAAAATCTATTTTTCATTTCAAATATCGTTTTTTTAATTCAAATATCAAATTGAAGATTTTTTCGAAAAAAATTCAAATTACCATGATAAAAGTTGTTTTTTTTTGTTAATGCAATAAAAAAATCAATTTAATATAAAAAAATTAATTGATGCAATAAAAAATAAATATTAAATATCACATTCAAGATTTTTATATCTAACCAATCTGTGTTAATATTAAAGTTTAAATCAAATTTGGCAAATCCAACCAAAACTTTGATAGAGACCCTTAAAYTACHTGTTAYATGTTCAACAGATCAACCAGACCCTTAAATAAACAAAAGTTTGATAGAGACCCTTAAATGACGATTTTAAAAGTTGGTTCCCCAAAATAGGAATCATGTGAAAGTTGGTTCCATTTTGGTGTAATTTTCCCATTTTTCTATAATTATTTTGCAAGTTAGTTCCCCAAAATAAGAATTAGGTACAAGTTGGTTCCCTAAAATGATGATTTTGAAAGTTGGTTCCCCAAAATAGGAATCAGGTGAAAGTTGGTTCCCCAAAATAACGATTTTGAAAGTTGGTTCTCCAAAATAGGAATCAGGTGAAAGTTGGTTCCATTTTGATGCAATATTCCCTTGAATAAAAGCACACATATTTAGATTATGACAGTTATGATAATAAAATTTGCAGTTATTCTTATATGAATCTGACTCTATATCAAAGAAGGATCAAATTATTATCGAACACGGTCAATATAAGAAATCATGAAAGTTGTCAAACCACATTTGATTCTTCATTGAAATCATACGCAATTTTGGAATACCGTTAATCGTAAGGGTCAACGGACGACTTGGCCTCGACCTCAGAATTACATGTGATTTTACATATGATTTGAATGTAAAATCACATGTGATTCAGTCGTTCTCGTATTTACTCATTTAGTTGTTGTTCTTGTATTAATCTAACTCCCTCGCAATATATATATATATATATATATATATATATATATATATATATATATGTATATATATATCATATTAAAAACTTAAATAGTAATCGTTTCCCATTTTTCCTCTTATTTTAACATGATAAAAATGATTTCTCATATTTTAAAATGTTTTTGGTTCAAATAGTGTGTTCCATGTTATCTTATTTGAAGGGTGATTCTTTTTACTTCCTTTTTTGAAATGGAAGTACATTTTTAAATTACAATTGACACCCTCATAATTATGATTTTGGACATATGTAGTCCCTTTATTTCTTATTTTTAACACTCGATGTAAATCCGACTAGCTACTCGTCGTATTGTGTAGTTCATTAGTCAACCGTAGCACACGGCGTTGCATGCGACGGTCGGTCAAGCAAACATGCACACGTTTTAATTAAGAAAACCGAGTGAATTATATAAAAAATGTATTGTTCACATTTTATTACCTCACATGGTGTACTAAGGAAGGACATATAACAAAAAAAGCATAAGTTATGTACTTAACCTTGTAGGTCTCTAAGGGGTTGTTTGTTTACCTTTTAATAGTTCTATTAAGAGGCAACATCTGAATCGTTAAGAGGTGAATCTTGTTTGGCAAAAAAAAAGTTTGTCTCTTAATGGTTCTAAAACCCTCTGAATGATTTTGTATCTTGGATCTCCCTTGACCATTAAGAGCCCTAATTTCATTGTACACAATTACCAAACAATTATATTTCATTTTGCAATACATCATGGGAGTCTCTTAATCATTTTGACCACTTAATCATTATGCACCAAATCATTCAGCAATTGCCAAACAGCCACTAAGTATGAATGCTGAATCATCGGACATAATTTTGTATTGAAGTGATAAATCAAATTTTCAAGCAGGAATAACTTACAGTTACTACTGTCGAGATGTTAATTAGGCTTCCACATGTTTTCTAAAACTTTAGAGCCCATAAAGAGCATTCATTGGTTAACTAGCTGGACTGCCATCATGTCTCGAAACAAAAAAAAATATCAGCTCCACAGTCAAAACGTACAAAAGTTGTGTGATTGGGGGCAATGCCAATTAAAGTCAAATAGCATATCCAACTGATATCGACTACACCAATTTCAAAATACACTAACCAACAAAGAATCGTTGTATTAGCATTTGATGCATCGATACACTGCTAAGATGTGCAACTCAAACTAAACCTATACGTTCCAGTGATAAGATTCGGGATTAAAATAAAATCGATTTAAATATCGAATTAAACAACTTTAAATGCAATTTACATGTCTAAAATCAAAAGATAAAAATATAGATCGTGGGTCAAAAAATGCATATTTATTTGTTAAGTTGATAACTTTGAAAGTGATATTTTTGTTTGTTTAAAACATTGAGTAACTTCTTTGATTTACAATTAATAAGACGGAACAGATATTTGTTTAATATGAAATAATGTTATTGGTTGTTAAGTTTAATAGAGACTTGTAATTAAGGATATGCACTTTTCAAAGTTGGTTCCGTCTTTT